CTGCACTGTCCTGACAAAGCGATGCACGTGGCAGTAATTCCACAGCAGCAACCCAGAAAGAAAGCTAGGATGATCACCAATCCGATTGCGCCCCAAGGAGTGCTGCTGCAGGTCTGCCCCCACAATGACAAGATCTGCCGAGCTTCAAACAGCAAAGGTGCCGCCCATTGCCCTAGCATACCCGAGAAACTTGAGCAGCGAGTGCTGCGGATGCTTCAGCTCAGGAGATATAAGGCATATATATATATATGCGCAGTCACACACACACATACATCTATGCATGTGTTCACGAGTTCATATATATATATATATGTATACATATATATATATATATACACATATGTGTATGTTTGTACTTGCTATGTGTGAAACTTTATGTATAACACAGATTAGTTCATTCGTTTGCTCATATAGATTCTTAGTTTGTGCCCACGTATATATGCGTGTTTATGTGTATGTTCATATATCCATGTATATATATATATATACATGTGCTGTTTTGTAGGATCATAGATATACAAACTCAAAACTTGGTATGCATTTATATGTATATTCATGTATACATCTATTCGTTTACGTACGTCTATATTTGCGTAGGTAAACAACTGTATACTCATATGTATATATACTTATACTTATCTATACTTACACACTTATACAAACTTAGCTACTCATCTAAATGTTTTTATCGTTCACTTAAGTTTTGATGTGCTTGTTCATTTGTCTATTTTTCCTTAATTTATCTATTTCCTGCTTCTACCTGCGTTAACATACATGTTCCTATTTTATATGTTTACATTCAGCTTTATACTTGTGATTATGTTTTCACTCATGGGATAACTTGTATATGTAATTTTTCATATGTATAAATTTACGTTCCGATTGCTGTATACTTGCAGTTATAGTTAGGTTAAAACTTGCTTATTGTTTGTGTATGTGTGTTTATGTCTCTGATGTTTATGTGCTTGTTTACATGCTTCTCTGTCACAAATGTCTCCCCCCATACAGTTCGAGATGACACTGGTTTGTGTGTCGTGTTCAGGTGCTCGATCCTCTTCTGAAACAACTTGGAGCATGCATGTGCAACACAAGGCACCTTTCCGACTTCTTGAGGATGTCATTCGAGCTCCAACTCCTGGCGGCTGTCGCATGCATCCCCCCCAGGAACGATGCTGTCCTAATTGATGGAAGCCCAGGACTTCTCAAGAGATGCCACAACAGGACAGCATCTTGCCAGTGGACCGTTCGATGCAATGCTATACTTCATGCTACTCGAACAGATGCACATGTATGCACTGACATGAACTTCAACCAAGCTGATGTCAGGAAGTTGCACTTCACCACATTCGCCCGGCCCTGTCAAGCTGTTGTTCAGGGACTACCGGAACCTGCATCCTAAACAAGCACGTTGCTGTGCTGCAGGACTCAGCTCGAACACTCCGAACTCCCAAAGCCCCACAGCTAGCACAAAGATGCTGCTCGTGTCCTGTCATTGGCTCCTCGTCGGCGAGGTCCTGCTCAGGACGCAAAGAGGCACGACTGTAAGTCGGAACACATCGAGATGAGACCGCATGTGCCTGATAGTCAATGATGCAAAACGCCAAGCAAAAGAGCGTGAGGATGACCAATGCCAGGAGAATCCCATATGGCACTAACCTGCAATCGCACTTGCATGGACAAACAACATGCAATATCTCTCGCAAAAAGATCTGTCGCAGCTAGATTTGTATGCTCTGTCTGTGTCTCGCGAGCTCGGCATCTGGGAAGCAAGATTGACCATCTGGAACTCACTTGCAAGAAGGAAAAGGTAGAGTACTGCTTTTGCCGCCTCCAAGCGGCATACTCCCCCAAAGGATCTGGATGGTCCTTGCCTCAGAATCCCGGATGAATCGCCACTGGCGAAACCGGTGTACACGAGCAACCGAGCTCTGCGCGCAAAGCAGCGCGAAACTCCGGCTGGCTTCGGGGTGGACCTATGAGCAAGGTGTAAGAGCGTAAGTTCAGTGTCAGTGCTTCTCAAGCAGCCCAGATGCATAGATGTTGGATGTACTCGCCCGCCAAAATTCTTCTGGCATACTCACTGGTCTTGCTGGCACCACCCTCGAGCGTCAAAGGATACTGCACAGAACTATACCTGCCAGTATTGCATGGCAACAGAGAAGCTGGCAAACAAGACACTCGTTGATGCACAGGGCACGTGGGGTCTTCGACTCGGCATCCGTCTTCCCCGTACCTCGTAAACCGATCCAACGTGGTGGATGGGAGCGCCACAAAATTCTGCATATGCGCACTGCCAGTACTGACAGAGAATGTCTGAATAGCACACGTTCCTCTGGCACAGGTCAGGGGACGCGAACTTTCACTTTACAGGGACTGCAAGCAGCCTGCATCTTTCGATGTTCGTGCTCTGGTCATCACTGTACAGCTTTCCGATTGGGCGGAGACCATGCACTTCAATACCACTCATCTGCTTCATGACCTTGAGATAGTCAAAGGGTACGTGGCCAAGCAGTCATGCAAGGAATTGCTTTGCGGAGCTTGGCTTTTGGCACGAATGCTGCCGTGCTGGATCCGCTGCCTGCTGCTATTTTGCTACACAGCAACATTGCAATGCCGCGAAAATGCTGAGCTCACAACCCTCCGGAAAACTGGACCGGGTTATACCCGTTGCGGCTTTCGCAGTGGTGACCCTGTGGCAGCATGGCTCATCCCCGGTCCGCTTGCTGGACGACTAGGGGAGATACGTGTCAATAGTGTGACGCAACTTCGCGGCTATTCCAAGTATCAAGTGCTAATGGCAAAGATGCCGCAGTAGACAAAACCCACCTCTGTGTGACTTGTAATCAAGACAACTCTTAGTTTCCAAGCTCTTACCACTCACGGACGGCTCGAGCTATTCCTTAACTGCTGCCTGTCCCTGACTTGTGTGCCTGCCTAGTCCAAGCATCGCTGCAAAGGCAACACTAGAGTCACTAGAGCATGCCGCCTGGCCCTGCCAACAGCCACCGTTCATCTGACCAGGATTGAACTGCCACACTGAGCACCTCCGCAAAGCAGAGATTGGTGCGCACACGGAAGGTGGAGCTTCGGATGCATGCAGCGCAGACGAACATCTGCAGACCGAAAGCCACGGGAGCATGTCGATTACAGGTCTGGGCTTGTCACATACCCGGGCTTTCAAATTATTGCAGCATTCCTGAAGAGTCAAAGCCCGAAAATTGTGAGTGTTTTGCATCAGTAGGAATCTGTAGCACCTCGAAAGCATCAACGTCTAGTCCAACGGTTCTCTACGTTGTAGTCTGCCCCTTCGGGGCGAAGACGATTGAGTTCTGTGATTCACAGCTCGTCTTTAACTTGCTTTCCTGGCGGTAGCCAGTATGCATTTACAGGCGCAAAGTTTGGCTCGTTTTGCTGGGACCACAGGTCTGCATTGTCCCATCCAGCACAGCCCACCAAAGTGCTTCGTACTGATTTTTGCTCGGCTGACGTCCTGCTTTTGTACCGGAAAAACGCATCAATGACAAATGCAGTGATTACGCTACGCAGGTTCGGTCCATAATTACGGCCAGGGAAGAATTTGTGCAGTTGTACAGCCGTCATTCTGCCGGCTACGACAAGACTCCCCATGCTCTGCAATATTACAGCAAGCAAACACCATATTGATTTGATCATCTGGCGTGATCTTTTGCGATTTCACAGCCCGTTGCAGCTCCACCCGCAAGAGGGTGGAATTGAGCGAACTATCATGAGAGAATCTCGCATTCGGAATGCCGAAGGCCCCGCCTTGGATCATTCAAGCAGGAATTTCGGCATGTCGTCAATGTAGTCGCTTGAACAAACAGTAGACCAACGCACCTTAGCCGCTGGCCCTCGCTGCGGTCTTAAGCCAAAGCAACACAAACTCTGGTGGCTTTCAGGCTGTCTTGGATGCCAACTGTCCTGGCCAACCATGCTCCACATCTCGGAGAACCTTCGACGACATGACGTCTTCTATGTTAAACACCGAGACAATGAAGCAGCAACACCAGCCTTGGATTGCCAGCACATAGACAGCTTTCCATGTTTCACCTTTGCAGATCAAGAACGCAGTATTTCTACGCAGTTCATCTCATTTCGGGCCGAGGAGGCAAAAGCATGAAGTGCAGCAGGCATTTAAGCAACTAAGCTGTGACTTTGGGCTGCGTGCTGTTTTGCTAGTGCGCCTCGTGGCATGAGCAAAACGTGCTCGACCAGAGCCGTATGAAGCAAACGGCCTGTTTCTTCGCATCCTGCAGTGCGGTAGTCTGGGTGAAACTATGACATAGTTCCGTCAACAAGTGCATTTTGGCATACGGAGCCAGTTCATCTTTGCATGCTGACATTCGTCATCACGGCAGCTGCAAGGGGATGGGCCGACGCAGAAACCTTGAAGCCAGTTTTCGTGTAGCACCTTCGTGCCTTCTCGTTGGTCTCTAACACACTCAGTTTTTCCCTGGCGAACGAGCATCCAAGGCCTGATGCGCGTTTCAGGGCAAAGGCTTAGGCGGCCTTCTGCTTGAAGCCGTATAGAAAAATTCTCTGCGGCTTCAAGCAGAAGGCCGCCTAAGCCTTTGCCCTGGTGCCCGCGGTCAACCTTCACCTGCCCGATCGTGAGCCCTGCTCTTCAAATCTCGCATACACGTAGCCTGTAACCATCTTTGTCGTTTGCGACACTGCCGTTAATGTGAACGAGGAGGGCTTCAAAGCGCTTGCCAACTCCTCAATACACACCACATGCTTGTCCTCGGCCTTGTCATCCACTACCACACCCACTAGAGTTGCCGCGGCTTTTGCTGTGAGGTTTTTGGTACCATGGCATTTCTGGGTGCAGGTTGGCATGGTCCACTGCAGTCTCTCTTTCTGAACGTCGCAAGCGCTTGGCGCAATCCTTCACAGACTCACACACCCAGTAAATCCTGATCTTCCACCACGATGCTGCGCTGCGACTTGTCTATGATGGGCTCGTGCATATTATCTTCCGTCTGCCATTCAAAGATGGCGAATCGGCTCCTTGCTGCGGCAGCAGGACATGAGCTCTGAGGTGTTGGAGACGGTCGTGCGAGCTTCCTAGTCTCCGGCACGTACCGGCTCTGGGCTTTCAGGAGCTCCCGTGGAGTCTGGTTACCTTGGGGTTTGAAAGCCAGCTACCTCCACGCGGTGACCCCGGACTCTGAGCCCGCAGAGACAGACAGCTGGATTGCGGAAGGTTTGCGGTTATTCGAAATTCAGAAGGGTCTCATTCAGAACATTGTGGTCGCTGCTGACGGGCACACCGGCGGCCTCCATGCCGAGATTTCCCACATATCGTACCACGACGTGATGTGGGGCTTCTTTGTGCAGGGCTATCTTTATTCGTGTGTGTGCAGGCTTCGAAGGCTGCTTGGCTATGCTGGGCAACGCATTGGCGAGGCCATGAACCCAGGGCCAAGCCAGGACAATCAAGCCAGTCAGATGACAGTGCTTATCTCATTGGTGCAGCTTCTCATTCAGTTGGTCGCCAAGTTAGCGGGAGGTGGTGAGCTTCAGGGCTTGGTTGCACAAGCTGAGGCTGTTGCAAAAGGGCTGAAAGTTCAGGATGAAGTTCAAGCTGAAACCGCACCTCAGCGCAGAGTTCAGATTGAAGAGCCGGAGGGGGAGTGGGTCATAGTGAAGAAGCGAAGAGGCAAGGGTCGCGGCAATGATGCTGCTAAAGGACCCGTGCTTCATCCTGATGGCGGCGTTGCTCATGCTACTAGGCCTGGTGCCTTGGCAGGTTCCCCGAGTGATGGGGCAAACAAGGGTCGGCCGAAGGCAGCGACCAGTGATGCCCCGAGTGATGGCCCTAAGGGGAAGGGTGTCGGCAAAAGGGCACCCAAAGCCGCTGAGGAGGTAGCTCGTCGACCTGTGCAGCCCGTTTTGCACCATGATGAGTGGGCTTTGAGGCCTGAGGATTGGCATGCCAAGGTGCTCACCGTTGCGGAGTTGGAGGTCTATGCCCAGGCTGGCGAATCATTGCTTGTGTTAGCCAAGGATCGTGATGAAGCTGAGGTGCTGCAGGTTCTTGCCGCGGGCAAACAATTCAAGTCTTCCTTGCTTATCGTCTGTCGATGTGAGGACGGTACACTGCAGTTGCCATTTTGGCAGAAAGGACGGGCGGCCCTTCACAAGGTCGCTATGTTGAAATATGAAGTTTCCGGGGTTCCACTGGCGACGCTTCGGGGTGAGAGGAAGACTCTTAAAGTCTTATAGTCAACACGGCGTCTACCTCGGTGTTGCGTTTGATCCTTGTCCAACAGTTGGCCCCATCAGAGGATTGGAATCAGGCCAACAAGAATCTGAGGAGCTTCGCCATGCATCGCGCGGCGGTGGTTAAGGATCTTTGGGGAGGTGCCATTGAACAGAAGCGCGGTGCTGCTCTGGTGGCATTAGTGCGCGTCGCTGATGACCATGTCAAGGCTCTCCTTCAGGAGAGTGGTGTTGGCGGTTTGTTTTGGGAACCCTTGGGACGAGTGGTCTCTGGCACCACTTTGGGGGTCAAGTGGA